GAAAACTTGTGAGTGCAACTTTTATATGAAAGGTGTCTTGCGTGAACGTCCAACTAAGTTAACTGAAAACTACCCATACCAAGGTTAAGATTGCGGGTTTTTGTAAAGAAAGAAACTCCGACTTCTAGGCTCGAAGGGGTTAACAAGGGAATAACTTCCTTATTTCTCTAGTGTTTGAGAATTGAAACAATGTCTTACATCGTCAGCAAAGTTAGATTGAAAGCATACCGACAACAGTTATGGGTATAATATTTTCGTCATCCTCCCTCAAATATTTTCATGTCAAATGTTTGAACAAAAGGTGCATATTTTAAAAGATAAAGCATAAATATGCAAATAATGGACAAAATGAATTGAACTAAAAGTTGCAATGCTCATTTCATTAATTACGAAAGTACAAACATAATTTGAATACAAATAGCTAGTACAAAATAAGAAAAATTCATACAACAAAAAACATGGCCTAGTGACTAATCGGTAACAAGGATGAACTGTCTTATCTGAAACACTGGCTTTTAGGAAGATAGTCTGCTGAAGTCGACTGAAGCTCACTTCTGATATGCTGGAAGAGGATTGTTGTTGATGTTAGGAGTGGAGTCTTGAAAGCTAAGGATTCCAACCTTAATCAGATCACACACTTTAGCTTTCAATGCATAGCAACTTTCCAAGTTGTGGCCTGCAAAGCTTTCATGGAATGCACAGTGAAGATCAGATCTAAATCCAGCTGGAAGAGAATTAGAAAGAGGTTGCAAAGTCCTTGTGGTGATCAAACCTTGTTGAACTAGATCATGATAAAGTTTAGTGTACGTCATGGGAATAGGTTCGAATTGATTCCTATTCTTGTACTGGTTCTATCCAACAGCCAGATGTTGAGGAACCTAAGCTCATCGTGGAGCAGCAATAGCAGGAATAACAATAACAACAGTAGGGTGATCAACATACCAAGGTTGATGGCGAGGCCTTCTCACTTCAGCCATGACAGCATTGGTCTGATCCTCTCTCTTCTTCTGGAAGTTCCCATAAAATTTCTTCGCACCATTGGAAGATTCAGCAACTTTGGATACTTTACCATTCTTGAGTCCTTCCTCGAGTCTTTGGCCAATAGTTACCAAATCAGTGAAATTGGAGAAAACACTACCATTAATCTTATCCCAATAGAATGGAGTCAAGGTGTCCATGAACATTCCAGTAAGTTCTTTCTCGGCCAAAGGAGGTTCAACTTGGGAAGCTAATTATCTCCATCATTGAGCATATTCTTTGAAAGACTCTTTCTCATTCTGAGATATATTCTAGAGTTGACGGCGGTCAGGATCCATGTCAAGGTTATATTTATACTGCTTCATGAAAGCATTGGCAAGATCTTGGAATCAGTGGACATTGTTCTGTTCTAAGTTCATGTACCACTTAAGAGAGACGCCACTCAAACTATCCTGAAAGCAGTGGATGGGAAACTTCTGATTGTTGGTATAAGCAGCCATCCTTCGGAAGTACATGACTAAATGAGCTCTTGGACAAGAGTGACCCTTATACTTCATGAACTCGGGAGTTTTGAACTTAGAAGGTATAACAAGGACAGAAACTAAGTACATGTTGTCTGCTTCCACATTGAAGAAGTCGGTACCCTCAACGGCTTTAACTCTTTTATCTACGATCTGAAATTTTTCACGGACAACCTCAGGCTCAACAAAATTTTCACGGTCTTCACCTTGAGCACTGGCAGTATTGTAGTCAAAGAAAAGAGTTTAAACAGTCTGGACCACAGATCTGGGCTCGGCAAAAACTAGAGCTTGAAAAACTAGTTTGGCAATCTGGCCAATCATAGTAGTAGACACAAGGGGTGGAGAGTAGTTATGAGGTAAACCAAACTCTGGACAAGTTGAAGGTGGCATTTGAACAGGCGGAGGATCAGCGCTTGAAACTTTCTGAATGACAGTCCTTTGAGGTTGCTATCCTCTGGTAATCAGGACTTGGAGCATCTCAGTGAGCTTGGTCATGCCTGATTTCAAATCATTGATCTCCATTTGGATCTCTGCATTATGCACTTCTTGCTCTGACATTCTACATCCGTAGTTAGCTCTAGTCCTGTATCGGTGTCGAGGAATCAACTTGACGACTGACAGGTGACACTGGAAGATAGAGACAACTAAAATGAGTGGTTGGACAAATAGATGGTATGCAATGGGTCATGCAAAGATGTAAATGATATGCAATGTGATGCAAGACAGGATGCAAAACACAGAGTGTGTACTGGGGGTAAAGCACCTACACAACGGGTTCTAACATAGTTCCCAGAGTCATTGATAAATCTTTCGAATATTATCGGCTTGCATGACTACTCTTACAGGCTAATATTATTCTCAAGATAAACTCGTCTGAGTGTAGTATCGCATGACAACCATCACAGATATACACCTGGATAATCACTGCACTACGTCCTAAAAAGGATTAGAGGGGTGAAGGGATACTATGTTTGGGATGGAGGAAGTAAAGAAAATGTGAGAGAGCGGAGGAAGAAAGTAGAGAGAAAATTACAAGAAAATAAGAGTGTTTCGTTGGAATGCCATATTTTATGCGTTTTTCCTCCCCCTGGATGATCCCCACGTGGCGCTCTCAGGTCCTTATGATTTGTTTATCTGTCCTTTTGACTAGGGGCCCCTGTACAGGGAGCCTCACCATAACCTATGTGTGTTCGCTTTTACCATGCGTTGATCATTTGTCCAATGCTTTCTCTCTGAGTTAACTTGTTGACCCGAATTTAGGCCTTCAACGCTGGGCTTGACCCCCTTCCTTTCTGCCATGCTCATTTTCTTCATACACCCCAAACCAGTGGAAGAAAAAGCCTTGGGCTTGTTGTGCCAATTATTTTACATTTGTGTGTATTTTGATGACTATTAAGGATTTAAAAGTCCCATTTTATTTCTCACACAGTTATTATATAAAAAGTGAAGTTCATTAGTTTTTTTACTCAAATAATTTTAGTAGTTAGAATTTCGCCATTTAAAGTTGAAGTCTATATCTTTCCATCATTTATTTCTTTATGTTCTTTTCTTTTTTCTAAAATAAATGGTGAATCCCATATGAGAATAAACACATTATTAAAATTGTTAAAAAAAATTAGAATTAAATTAAACCGAAGTTAAAATAAGGAATTGTTATTATATGTAATTAGTAAATTAAATCTCTGTTGGACAAATTAGTTTTAAAATTAAACAAAATGATAAATAAATCGAATTGAAAAAGAAAATATTAAAAACAAGTTTAAATTATTTTACTAAAAAACTTAAAAAATATATATTAATTTAATTTTTTAATAAATATTTTTTTTTTGGAAAATAATGTCTTAGAATTCCGAACTGATATATCAAATTAATAGTTTTAATTAGGTTTAGATCTCATATGATCAGAAAGAATCAATGGTCTGCCACGCGTGATCGGTTGCCTTCACCGGAGTTGTGGAGGAGAAAAAGGGGGGTGCACCTGCAAAATGCTTCGATGCCTAAGTAAATACAGGAACTAGAGAGTAAGTACAGAGAAAAGGTGTGTAGAATAGAATACCTAACCCTCTAGTGAAATAGGGTATTTATAATATGACCCCAGTGCATGGTCAACAGTTACATTGCATTGGGCTGGATTTCCAAGCCCAACACAAGTAACTGCCAGGGCTTACGTGGCGTAGTGAAGACCAACACATGGTTTTCTCCCTGGATCAACTGTCCGTGATCTTCGGAAGGTGGGTTGACCGTCTCTTTCGGAAGCGGGTAGTTGCCTGATGACGTGTCCCCGCGTGGGGGACACGTGGAGAATGTGGGGAAAGCATGTTGGCCTCCCCATCAGAAAGTCTCTCCCCGGAGGTGTGCCTTGTTGAGGCTCCTCCCCAACAGAGGAAATTGGGCCTTGTTGGACCTCATCACGGTAGCCTTGGGTTGGGCCTACATGGCGGAAGGGCAGGTTTTGCCCCAGTCCAGAACAGATTTGATTTCAAATAAATTGAAACGTTCAGTTTAAGTGATCTTTTATCATTTCGATTTGATTCTTTGAATGAAATGTTCCATAAAGCTCTAGATCGAACACATCCTAAGGTTTTATTACTCAAGCTAGAGATGATAATGGGTAGGGTTTAGAAAGATATTATAGTATCCATTTTTATATTTGAAGTTTGAAAAAAAATTCATACCCAAATTCATATCCACATAGACTCCAAAATTTATACACGTACCATATCTGCATTTTTAATAAGAAATTATAAATCTATTATAATTTATCATGTTAATTTACGTTTTTAATAATATTTTAAAATTTTAATATATTATTGTCGAGTTACTAAATAAATAAATAGTTATATTAAATTGCGTACACTTTAATATTAATATATTTAATAAATTTGATAAGCGCACATATGCATATAATAATAAAAATAAAATATATAAATATGTATTACACGGATATAAAAAGAATAGATATTAAAAAATATTTATCTGTATTCATAACAGCCGGAATGCTTGTGTCATGTTGGTATTATTTTGGGGAATTATAATTTTTATGAATATCTTTGAGTACTATTTTCCGCCTGACTCAATAAAGGAGTTTTTCATTTTGGGACAAAATTTTCACATTGTTGGATTTCCTGGTTCGGTGAACATAACGTAGGTAACAATTTACCCTAAGAACATCTAACGTATTGGTTGAGAATTAAATTTTGAGTATCACCACCACGCATTCAATTTCTACTTCGCATGGATTTCATTTTCAAATTATCATACAAAAAATGCATGACTTTCATCACACACGCGTGATTTTACTCACCAAGTATGAACAAAATATATGGGTAGTTGCAGTAGTTTTGAATCAATAAAAAAGTTGGTATATCAACAATTTATCCCCTTTTATTGCATGTCCATGACAATTACCAAATTGTAATTAACATTTGCTACTATAAAAACCAACACACGTATTTAAGAAAATAACAGAAGTGCTTTGTGATACAAGACAAATTAATTAACATGAAGATAATTGTTATTATTGTAGCTATCATTTTCGGAATTAAGCTTGAAGGATGCGATTGTAAGATTGTGCAGTTCATTTTTGGAGACTCTCTTTCTGATGTTGGAAACAATAAGCATCTCTCTAGAAGCCTTGCTCAAGCAAACCTCCCTTGGTATGGTATAGATATGGGCAATGGGCTGCCTAATGGAAGATTCTCTAATGGTCGCACAGTTGCTGACATTATAGGTATAATCTTTTCACTTTTAAGCTATAATCACATGTGTCCATGTTTGACCATGACATGAGTCAGACTTCAGATACCGGACACAGGTTTGTTCAGAAGTGTTAATACTAATGATGATATACATTTTCAGGTGACAAGTTAGGCCTACCGAGGCCCCCTCCGGTCCTAGACGCATCTTTAACTGAGAAAGATATACTAATAAATGGATTAAACTATGCTTCTGGTGGTGGTGGAATCTTGAACGAAACCGGCACTTATTTTGTGAGTTTGCAAGTGTCAACTTTTATACTATGTGTCTCATGACTGATATAGTTTGGATGAACCAATTATTTTTCTTGCAGATTGAAAAATTATCACTAGACAAACAAATTGAACTCTTTCAAGGAACACAAGAACTAATCAGAAGCAAAATCGGAAAAAGAGCCGCGGATAATTTTTTTCGAGAAGCTCGTTATGTTGTTGCTTTAGGTAGCAATGACTTTATCAACAACTACTTGATGCCTGTTTACACTGATTCATGGACATACAATGATGAAACCTTCATGGATTACTTGATAGGAACACTAAGAAGACAACTAAAGGTTTATTGAATTCATGACTCTAAAGTAATCAATCATGCTTCATTTACTTAATGAGAATATTTTTTATTTTTTTTTGTATTGTTTGTGTTTTAGGTTCTTCATAGTTTAGGAGCAAGACAATTGATGGTGTTTGGGTTGGGTCCAATGGGCTGCATTCCACTCCAAAGGGTGCTTTCCACAACTGGAAATTGTAGAGAAAAAGTAAATAAACTAGCTGTTGCTTTTAATAAAGCTTCAAGTGAACTCGTCGATGAATTGGCGAAACAACTTCCGAATTCAAACTATAGGTTCGGAGATGCGTATGATGTTGTCTCTGATTTGATTAGTAATCCTGCCAAGTACGGTAAGTACATATATGTTACTCGATCTCTCCTAATTAATCTCATGCATATACTATTACAATCCATTTTAATCTAATTATGTTTGGTTTGTAGGATTCGAAAACTCAGACTCGCCATGTTGTTCGTTTGGGAGAATTCGACCAGCGCTTACATGCGTACCTGCGTCAATACTGTGCTCAGACCGAAGCAAATACGTGTTTTGGGACGAGTATCATCCCTCGGACAGTGCTAATGAACTAATTGCAAATGAACTTATTAAAAAATTTGGATTTTCGCGTGTTGATCAAGTTGCCGCTCCTTCACCAGCACCTTCTATTGCTCCATCTCCACAAAACTAATCATTCAAAGCTTTCTTGCCTAATAGTACTAAATTTGCATGTCATTTGTTGCGGAAACAAGTTTCTTTCTGTTGTTCTGTCCCATGTGGACTATTCAGTTACACATAATTTCTTTTCATGATTTGAACTTGTCTTTATGATATGAGATACTTTTTAAGTCTACTAAGTGGCCAATACTATAATTACATAAATTAAACAAATATTTTGGATTAGTTCTGAGTTCACTTTCCAGGAACATGGTTTATACAATCTGTGGGTGGACGAATAGTTCTTCATTTTTAACATCTTTTTCTGGACAAAAGTAGTGCTAAAAGAAAAAGGATGTTTGTCGGTTAAATTCCAAATGCATCCCTATCTAGTACTAACTTAATTAATATATAGGTGGACGGTGGAGGATTGTTTGCACCAATATGAATAATTAATTATCCAAATTTCAGCTTCTGAGAGAAGCTAATTGATTATGTTATGTTACATGCATGTTATGGCTGGTAGAATTGAAATTCCAGTACATGGATAAATAAGCAGAAGTTACATAAGTAGAAGTTAATCACCATACATGAGTTCTTGAGATGACATAACCAAACACTAATTAGTCTTTTCTTTCATCATACATAAATGCTACTACAACTCACATGTCAACTTAATATAATGTTTTACATAGAAACTAACGTTTTATCAGCCAGCACATCGTTATGGTTCTCATTATGGTGCTCTTGGAGTGTGACGACCATTTGCGCCAGATGGTGGATAATCATGGAGTTCTAAATCCATCCTCTCAGTAATGTTTAACTCTTCCAAGTGCAAGTTTTTCTCAGTAATAACCTGCAAACATAAGCGCGTCCAAATTGGTGAATATGGTTTTTTTTAAGTGCAATATTAATAATAGTTTTAGAGAGTATATCAGATTATACCTTAGGGGTATTTTCCAGAGGAATTAGGCGAACTTGGACATCTTGCATAAGGTTTTCAGTTCCTGCTTCATACAAACATGCCATATATAAGACTCAGACCAAGAAGATGAAGGAAAACTACATGCACGTTTTGATTAGCAATGAATTTAACGAGAATAAACTATAAAGGTTGTAGAAATTACTTGTGACTGGGACTGCGGTCGAGCATAAAAGATGAGAAAGGCCAAGAAGAATCACGAATAAGCGAAAGAAAGTTCTTGCCATGCCTGCAATGATCCTTCTCAGAAACAAGTTCTAGGCTATGTTTTCCTCTCATATGCTAGTTCTCAGTTTATATATACAAGGGCATAAGATCTTTGTGAATGTTTATTTAACATGAAATGTCGATATGATGGAGCAGCAATATTATCATATTGCCAAAGTCATAAAGTTGATAGCAACCCATCATTTCTTGGAAGACCAACATGTTTCCACACGTTGGTAAACTTTCACAACTTCTGTCTTTTACATGTGTGAAAACTTAAATTAAGACTATAACTTTTGGTTTTTTTCCAAGTATCATCCCTAACTAAGTGCATGTTTAAAATTTAAGCAAAAATTACACTTTGTAGCCTCAACAAAATTACAGCATCAAGCTCACCGGATCCAAATACACATTAATTTGTTTATGATTTAGAGGAGTATACTCTCCGTGTCTCGAGAATTTTCTTATAAATTGTGGTTTTGTGTTTAATAACGTTGAAATATGTCTTAAAATTTTAAGTGATAAAAGAGAAAGAAAATAAATTTTGAGATTGTAGAAATCAAAAAACCGTAAAGCAATCACGGGATCAACAGAAAACGTCAGAACCGCAGATAGAGTTTGGCGGAGGTGGCCGGCAGCGGCGAAGGAAGCCGCCGAAAATCAGAAATCAGCGGCGGTACGGTATAGCTCCAGCAAGCAGGTAGCAGTTCGGATTTTCTGTCGTCCTGTCCAATTTTCTTGATTCGTGTGTTTTGGACTTGGGCTTTTTGCATTCTTGTTTTTACAACTTTGCTGACTATACTCTTAAGTATAGTAAATTGGAGATGAATAGTTTGATTAAATTGGATAAATAAATTATTGTGTTTATTGTTTTTACTTTATCTTCTTCGGTCAAATTAAATTGTTTTTTTTTATTGTATAAATTTTGTTTCCAATTGATCACAATGGATTCTAAAGAGCATACTGAGAGGTTTTTGGGAGACAACAATTTTAATTTGTAAATGTAAAGATGCAAGAAATCTTAACTCAACAAAAAAAACCGTACGTGGATGAGAGAGATTTCGTTTGAGGAGAACATAGTAGATGGACTGACAGTCGAAAAAGAAATTTTTGTGATACAAATGTGAATTTTCTAGGACCGACTGATGCCTCACCTGCACAGGCACCTACCTACGTATGGTAGTGTCGGTCGCACATGTAATATAGCATTCGGACTCATGTGTCTTCCAAAACCTGGAGTATTCGAGCCAGCTGCATACGATTAGCCAGCCTTGCGGCTGTAAAAGGATTAGACATCCTCCCATGCTACGGTTCTCTGCAGTCGAACCCGATGCCGCATTAGGTTAGGGAGCTGGGCTTTTTTCGCTCCTCTCACATTCATTCGTTCCAACTGCTTTGCTACTTAAAAAATAGAGATTGACCACTTTATAAAAGGAAAACTCTAAGTTATATAATTACTCTAATGTGAATACTACTTCTCATCCATTAAATCAAAATTAAACTACTTCAGACTAGGTGAACATCCAAGAAGTTAGTATATATTTTAAGTCAATGTGGAGTACCCTATGAAAGTGGAAAGATGACAAGGAAATATTCTTGAATCAATTACCTAAGGTGGTATATAACCAACCAAAGTCAAAGTGTAGTGGGAAATGGCCATTAAATCTTAAGAATATTTTATATAGGCTATGTGTTAAAAGTACAAGAGGTGAGAAGGTGGGGACACAACCAAGAAACTCACAAGAAGACTCCAACACTTCACATATTGCCTCAACTCACGAAAAGGCAACAGCACTAGCAGTATTAGGAAAACAGCTAGATAAATGGTTATCCATGTTCATCAGGGTTAACACTTTTTGCCAGAGTCCAAATTTTCTAAATGAGAGATGTTGAATTTCTTGGTCCTCTGATTTTTACAACTGTAGTATACATTTTTCTGTAAATATGTGCATGTATTGAGCAAGGAATAAAAAAGTTTCAAAAATTGCAAAACCCATGTCTGTTATTGCTAGTGGGAACAGCAATTTTCTCCATTAAACTAATCTGAATAGTGGCAGCTTTGTCCTCTTCACACCACACAAAAACTTCAATGGAGAGCATAGGTTTTGAAAGCATCTAAAGTTGATAATTTCTTAAATGAGTATTTAAGTTGATTGTGTGATTTTCATGTGAACACGTCAATCATTTATATTTTTTAATGTTTATATTTAACAAGCATGCATTCTACAATCAAGCACACCTCACCAATAACCCCTTAACCAAGGTACTTAATTAGTGGGGCTTTCTAGTAATGAGTAAAGCAATTCTCATTCGCAATGCGTAGATGTTTCTATAGTGTTCCTGTATTTGTTTTAAAAAATATAGTGTGCGCCTATTTGTCTCCCTTTCATGTGTCAACAAAAATAGTGTTGGAAAAATCAATCTAAACTGTTAGAATTTAATATTTGGGTCATGGAAGCAATAAAGATTTTGAAGGTGTTAAAAATGTGTGAAGAAATTGCACCAACATTTACCAAAGTGATTAGTAAGTCACACTCCATATTCATATAATGTTTATCTTTTAAGCAAAAGATGTGTAAGTGATCACTTTAAGTGGTGCAAGTGTATTTTATGAAAGAGTGTCTATCTTTCTGAGTAAAGTGCTCAAATTTGTAGGGTAATAATTATAGTATGTTGATATATTGTAAAAAAAAAATCATTGACATATATTATTGTAATATTAATTGAGATGGTAAGTATAAAAAAATGATTCTAATATACTCTTATGAAAAGAGATAAAGAGATAATAGTAAGAATATAATTATAATATACTATTAAAATCCACAAATCCTAGCTCGTACGGTTAAGAGTCTCACATCGTATAATATATGATGTAAACATGTATTTATAAGTGGGGGAGTCCTCACTCTACCAACCGGTTTTATAGAGTTGAGTTAGACTCAACCATATTTCTTAACACAAACTAACAAAAACCAATATTATTAGATCAAACATCAACACCAATGTTCAAACCCTATATCTCACAATTGTGTGAATTTCTCATCTACATATAAAAAAGAATGAAATATAAATAAAACAATCTAGAATATGCATTATGGAAAGCCTCTCACATGATACATATGGATGATGGAAGTGTGTATAGTGAAGGGATACATTTTTTCAAATGTTTTATCTTTAATAAGATCAATTAATTTTAAGAATATTAAAAAGGGAGTATGAAATATACCTACTCTTATTATAGGCCGACCCCTCAAGACAGATAACATATTAAGGTGGGGTGAACTATGAAGGATATGAAGAAAGAAAACTACCTAACTCAGATTTAGATATCTCCTTCACTCTCTTCTACATCTATCTATATGCTTTGTTAATACATTTTGCTTTGTTCTTAAACAGATTCAAAATTATCAAATTGTTACACTGGATAGAGATCTTACATTTTTAAAGGGAGTAATTAAACATAGTTACACGCCTACCCTTGAATACATCAACTTCGGATATGACAATGTCACCACCTTCTTTACAGCCGCCCAGATGGAGCTCTGAAAAATGTCATCATTCAAACACCGTATGGGAATGAACCAAGCAATATAAATTAATACGTATAAAATGTTTGTTGTCTTCATTGAATTCTACATCCTCCGGTATCTTGTCCACGCCGAACATTGCCAAAAGCAGACAATTCCAGCATATCCATATCACGATCTGTAATTCATCCAGTATTTCGATTAGTAAGTTTCCAGTTACTACAGCTAAGTAGGATCATTATAGTCATGCAGACATACCTGAAACCCTGCAATAAGAACTCTTCTGAATAAGATCAGATTTGGAGATATCTGTTCGATTACCCTTTGATCGATTAACTGTTGCCTGGAAAATTATGGACAGAACTTTTATTCAAGTGAATGCAAAAGGAATCAAATAAACTAGAGCTGGCAACATAACTACAAGAAAGATAACATGAACAGGCCAGCATTTAATGACATTAATGTTAATAATTGGAAAAATCGTCCATAGAGAGTTTGAAAGCCATAGAATAGTGTGATAAAAATATCAATTTGACGTTCAATAACTTGAAATATCCACACATTTGTGTTTTTTTTTTACCAACACGTTTGTGTTAAATATCTAAAATATAATCTCATCACACTACTCTCCTATCCCAATATGTTAGACCCTATAAATAAGTTTTAAAATTATCTTTAATTTTTACTTATTTAGCTGTGAGTAAGAGTCTAGTATTAGTATAAATAACGATTCTTACTTTGTCTTCTGTAGTAATATCTAACATACCATTCACATCAATATCAACTTCATGTTATTTATCTCAGTATTCTTTTTCGTCCCTCTATACCTAATCCTTTAACTTCAACAGCTTGTATACAATACGAAAGGCTTCACTTTTTTGTGAACCAGATGATATATGTCATCAACATTAATCAAACTTCATGATATCTGCATTTTGATAGCCATGCCAACAAGCCTGTTTTAAATTCACCCTCCTACTATTTAGCCCCAGTAATCGTATACATCCAAGTCTTTATTAGTTCACTATCAAGAAATATCGTAATCAAATCCTATGACAAAAAACTAAAAGGCAGTGTCTTATAATACTACCTCTGGTCCTATTTATAAGAAAATATTTGTTTTTTAGATTCATTCAATAGCTAATGTATCTGGTCTATATTTTATCCAAATACATTGTTTATTCAATAAATCTAAAAAGCAAACTTTTTCTTATAAGTAGATCCAGAGGGAGCATATATTTTCACTTTGGAGCTCTAAATAGATAATCCATAACATAGAAAAGCACATCATACAATAATTAAACTTATTACAAATTACAATGTGCTCCCCCTGCTGGGTTTTTTCTACATATAGAAACAGAAATGAAGTAAAACAAGGAAATGTTACCTGTAATACTTGACAGTTTTCTAGTGTGCTTTGGCCCCCCTGAATATCACAAAACACCAAAATGAATACGTAAAAAGGAAAACAAATCAAAATAAGTTGGCAACTCATTGATGTCATGATGGTCTCTTGGGGGGTTGTTTAATATGTTAGGGTTCCAGAAATAATGCCCCAAAATAACGTGTCAGGGTTCCGGAAATAATGCCCCAAGATAACGTGTCAGGGTTCCGGAAATAATGCCCCAAAATAACGTGTCAGGGTTCCGGAAATAATGCCCCAAAATATCATGTTAGGGTTTAGAAAAATGACCAAGACATGATCAGAAGATAACATAATTTTTTTCCATTTTCTTCTCCTTTATAACAAACTTCCAAATACTAGCATGATGGATAGACCAAAATCTTTCCTGCCCCTTTACTCTCTACCTTTATCCCTTAATTGAATGATAGCTAGCCACATATATATACCATAGGTTAGACTAATCTCATGACTCAAAAGCTTATACTAGTATTGCATTCACTTAATAGAATAACTTGTGATAAACCAGTTTGTTGTTTACATTTTATTTCAATAAACTTTCCAAATAATGAATAAACACTAAACTAATCTCCTTCTAATAGTTGCTCATATTCATCTAGATCCTTGGTATCAATTTCGGACACGAACTCTGATAGACATTTTTTCAGAAGTGTCAATGCTACTTATCTATCTACAAAGTAGGCCAAACAGTAATTACAGTGAAGTTGATTCTCCATTAATATAATGAAGATTGTAATATACTACCAATTATCCAGAGAAAAACAATTCAAAAAAGTGATAAAACGTGAAAAGAGAAAACGGAAAAACCTTAGAGTAAGGAAGAATGTGATCATAATCATGACAGAGGCACCCAGGGCATCCTACAAGCTTTCGAAAGATAAGATTCCCAAGAGGATCCCTTCGCCATCGATCGGGGTCCCTTCCTTTCACCTTGTCAGCTTTTTCCCAACATTTCTGTTTAACATTGTGTGGGAAGGATCGAGGATTAGGGTTAGAGTATTCACCAAAGATAGCAGCGTTTGGTTCATGATCGAGTAGAGTGGTAGCAGCAGAGGGAGAAGAGGTTAGTTCGGATGGCGATGATAACTTGGATGAAGTGGTTCTGGTTCGATCCTTCAACGGCGAGGTTGAGTTTGCTCTTCTCCTCCTTTCACGACTGGCGCTAGCGGCGGCAGCAGAAGAAGAACGACCCCTCATTTGCCGCGTCTCAATTCATTATCCGATATATCTTATCTTATTATTAGTTTAATACATATTAAAAAAATTTATGATGTCATCTAATAGAAATTTATCAATTTTATATTATGGACTCATAGTATAAAATTGGGTGTTTTTCATTTTCTCTTATTACAATTGATTTCAACATGAATTTAATTAAAAGTGAGCTATTTTGACGAATTTTTCACCCAAATAACCACTTTTCCACACAAATATTTCCATTCTACCCATCATTTCAATTTATTTTCCAATCTACCCTAGTTTAGGTTTTTTTTTTAATTTTTTTTACAATGGGGCGCCATGGGGATGGAGTCTCCCTTATAACTTGTTAGGGGGCGTCATGGGGGTTGGAGCCACCCTACAAATTATAAAGGGGGCGCCATACCCATTGGAGCCTCCCTTAAACGAAAATTTAAAAAAAAATTTAATGTTTAATTAATTTAAAAATATTTAATAAATAATTATTAATAAATTAAATTTTTTTTAAAAATAATAATTTTGTAAATAAATAATAATAATTAGTATTTTCATATTTTTAACAATTTATAAATAAATAATAATTAATATTTTCATTGATAAATTCTAAACAACAAATAAAAATTAATTTTGATTAAATAAATTTAATCACATACAAATGGCTACATTTGAAAGATCTTGTACACTAATTTCTACGACTCGGTCGATTTAAATGTTCGCTCGTACCGCATCCTCGATTACGCACGTTTCTTGGTGGTCTTTGTGGTGGAGTCGGGTCCACTGTGTCGTCATCAAGCATTTGTATCACTTCGGCCCATGCAGACGGATCCATATCCGTTAAGTCATCCAAATCAAAAGAGTTGCCCATGCCTTCATAGTTAGTTTGGGGTGGTTGGCTAGACGAGGCAATGTCAGGACGATAGCCTGCCTGATCGTAGGGTGGGATGAGTGTAAATGATTGGGTGGGTATTGGTTGATTGGGTGTTTGAAACTGGGAGTATGTGTGGTATTGTGGTGGATGTTGTTGGTATTCGGATTGTGAATGAGTTTGTGTGAATGGAGTGAATTGGTTAGGAGTATGTTCATATGGTTGTGATTGCGTGAGTGGGGGTTGGAAATAGGGTTGGGTGGGGGTTGGAAATGGGGTTGGGATGGCGGTTGGAAATGGGGTTGGGTTGGCGGTTGGAAATAGTATTGGGTTGATGGTTGGCATTGAGGTTGGGTTGGCGGTTCGAAATAGGGTTGGGTTGGTTGTTGGGGCCTTGATGATGAATCTTGTTGGCGTGGGTCATTAAGATACCTTGGATGTGAAATGAAACCAATTGATACAGACTTATACCAAGTCATGTATTGTATAGATTGTTTCATCTCGCATGGAAACACGTTGTCGGACAAAACATAGTTGGTGCGATGCCTCCATTCACGACACTCGTGTTTTGCATACTTGGTCCACGGATTATATTCCCATTGATCGGAGACTTTACCGTTGTGATATTTGTCTGGTATGCACTTTGGGGGACATGGAATATCTTGAAGCATTCCAAATTGAAGTTTCACACGATCACTGTTGTGCATTTCGACGGTGGTGAAGTTGATAATGGGCACCTTTGTGTTGTACCCCAAATTTTGACCCCTTAGATCCTCATTATCATTTTTAGAAGCATGATCATGAATTATCTAACCCTAAATCAATGCAAGTTTATTATTGTCAAGTTACAGATGAATCAGGGTTCTCGCACCGACAAATTCAAAACAATCAAGGAATGATCAACCAATGATTTGGGCCAATTCAATCATGGAATGAAATCAAAGATAATATCAAAGTCAAAAGGGAAGTCAATTTGAAGAAATCGTTTCAGAATCAAGAACAGTGCAGTCAGGAGGCCCCGATTAGGGTTTTTAACCAGTGGAAAGTCAACTGTGGTTTGACTTTGATGTTGGAAAAGGTTTTAATGGTGGGAGTGAGGTCCATGAAGTTAATATAGGCTAATAAAGACTATTCAAGAAGTATCCAAGTCTCAGGATGTCCAGAATATCAACGGGTGACTCAATCGGCACCGATCGATCGTACGGTTGACCGAAAAGTCAACTCCTCAAATTTTGAGAATTGGAATCCAAGTTGTGAATCAAAGTTGTTCCTTATGTCATAATGGACTTGCATATCAATTTTCATGGTCATTGGATCAAAAATGAGAGAGTAATCGAGAAATCGGGAAATTAGGGTTTTGAAAAGGGCTAAACCGTATCTCCTTAACCACACATCCAATTGAGTTAGTTCTAGTCTCATTTGAAAGCTCTTGACAAGTCCTACAAAAGTCCCATACTAGTCCACAACCAGGAAATGCATACTTTTTGAGATATAAGCAAAAACATTCCTAGAAGGGAAAATAACTTAGGAAATTTCTAAGTTATTTTCACTTTAAAAGCTAAAATCAGCCAACTTCAAGGGCATTTTTCACCTAGTTTCAAATAGAATCAATATTTCTGGCCAACATGAAAGTTTTAGTACTATGTGAGGGCTTTCTAAATTGTACAAGAACATCTCAAGGTGAGTTATGAGCTGAGAGATACATGTGTTCAAAGTTGGTATTTTGTCATACTAGTCCCACATTGACCAATATTGCAAAAGCACCTCTATCACTCAAGTGAGCCAATTTCAACTTGCCAAACTCTTTCTACCTGATATATTGAACATACTTAGCATGTTAGAACAGAGAGTTATCATGGAAACATCATGGAATTAAAGTTTGAAGTTTCATTGCCAAGGTTGCAAAAGTGGACTTTTCAAAGCATGAGGTGGAAAGTAAGATTTGAACCAGCCCCTTCCCTAAGCCTCTAGCCTGCATTCTCATCAGTAAAAACCATCATTAAGCTTGCCTCTTGATGAAAAGAAGTGGCCAAGGATCAGAAAAAGCAAAGCAAGTTGGCAAGTGGTTGAAAATATCAAGTTTGCTTCATGGTTAAGCAAGACCTCCCTAGTAAGCACCTCAACCACTTTCTCTATAAAAGGAGAGCTCCCTCACCTCATTTCCAACACATTTCATCTGATAGAAACCATAAAGAAGCTCTGTCATCACAACTCCCTCATCTTGCATCAAATTCTCAAAAATCACAAAATTCACAAAAAACCCCAAAAATGGTCATGAGGTGAAATTTGCTCAAAATCATTTCTACCCTTTCAAACACCCCAACAACCCTCCATACACTCTCTAAATATCATATGGGAGGTGTCTAGCCCTTTGAACCACCAAAAATCTCAAGAAATCAAAAAGTCAACTTCCTTCCCACACTACTTTGACCAAAGCTACAAAAATCACCATATCTCATTCTAATCATTTCCTTGGCATCCTAAGAGCTCTAACACCTTGCATATGTTGTACCTCAACTGTTCAGATTGCTAGGAGTCATCAACAACTCACATTTCTTCCTTTTTCACCAAAGTTGTATTTCACTCAAAAATTGTAAGTTCAAGGCAACAAGGGATTTCAGCACCTCTGGTTTTCTAGGAGTAATTTGGCTCGCTTTGAATTCATCACCACAGGTATGTGATGTCAATACTATGCTCATTCATCACCATGTCATAATGCCTAACTTTGGTATTTTGTTTAGAAATTTATCATCATATTATAGCATGTGCATACCTCAATACCAAAATATGGAAAAATGGAAGTTGGTGGGATTCTAATCTTGCTATCATGTTTGGTGTTACATTTATTGCTTGTTCTATTTTTGAAAACCCTGCTACTTTCAAACTGCTGCTAGCAGTCTTGTTAAAATCTGTTGGTGTTGAAAATGTTTTGTAGAGAATTGCCTTGTAGCAACCTAAATTAATGATTCTACTTTGAGTCATTGTTCATCCTTACTCAATGCTTGCTGGCATGTTTCCTATCATGTGTGAATTAGAGGGCTGCCTAGTTAATTTAGGGTGTTTGAATTGATGTAGTTTGTAGTAGGGGTATCACTTTGGGTAGACATTAGAAGAAAAGTCAAAGACTTGTTGCTGTCAAGACCCTATGTTTTGTGTATGCTATTTGCTGCATTGAGTTTAGACTGTGGAGGTTTTTAGCGTTTGGTATGTGGTCTCATTGTACTGCAAAATCAGTGAACAGGTGCATGAGGGATTTTCCTTAGGTTGATACATCAATGCAGGGCAGTTTATCTGGTTGGGATTATCATGCTGTGGTATTTAATCCTACTGCTACCAAGTTGAACATCATGATACAACTCACACTTACCTTGTTTCTAGTGCATCTTTTACATGAGATCTTCTATTAATTTCTTCAAATAATATCACATATGGTATGATCATGTTTCCACTTAAAAGAGTTAACATTTAGACCATGTGTTAAGCATCATGTTGCTTTCCTTGTACTGCTACACAAATACCAAACTGTTGAAAAATCCATTTTCATCATGAGCACTGAAAATCAGTCCCCTACCATTTGAACATGTTTAAGTTCATACTTGAAAATTGTCTAAATGTTTACTTTCATCAAGTTATGCATAAAACTCCATTTTACATTTTGGTATGAGTTTGAAAACACACTTAAGCCACTCATGGGCCATTTTTTTTGCATAAAGACAGATTTCACTAAAACAACTTTTGGAACATCTCATTTTGATCATTTGGAGTATGCTAGCATCACCACTTTGCATTAAAAATAGTTGTCACAAAATTTCACACCTCATATGCACTTTTTCCACACATATCAAGCATGTCACAAACCAAATTTCATACAAACTTCCTTGACCAAACCTCATATTGTTGGGACTGTTTTGATCCCTATTTTGGTTAACTTATTAATGCTTGCATTGTTGATAAACAAAATTGTGTTTCTACTTTGTGTTTTCAAATGAACTTCTTTTATCATGTTTTATGGTGAAAAGCTGTCATGTGATTTGTTTGCAAAGCTGACTGTTCTTAATGACATAAACACAGGTTGGTAAAATCTTGTTAAGTTTTGCTGAGGTCAAAAGTTTTATAATCTAACATTTATGCCAAG